TTCACTGTGTTTTGTGTTGTATGTTTTATTTGGTTATTAATAGAACAATTTACCTCTCCTATAAACTTAACATATTATATTATATTATATTATAATGAAAAGGTAAAATTACTATAATGATTAATGAAAAGGCAAACTGCGAGAATAATCACTACTTGGCAATTAAATATGGGAATATGTATCCCTTTTGCAAATTGAATCATGTGACCAGGGAAAATACAGATTTAATTTATGTTATGACACTTAAAATACTTTTATATTATGATTTAATTTTTTTCTATATGACAAATGCAGCAAATATTTCGTTTTACAAGAGACATTTTGTATTCAGCAAATGGCGCAACCATTTGGATCCTCCTCGACACTTTTATAGTACGACTGATACTGACGATAGTATTGCGGCGGGGCTTGATAGTGTGCTTGATAAGCCTTCAGAAATTGGGCCGGATCCAATTTTGGGCTGTTTTTCTTCTTTTCATCTTCAGTTTTGGGCTTCTCTTTTTCTTTTTCAGGCTTTTTTGCTGGCCCAACAGACACTAAATCTGTGTGACAAAGTTTCCTCAACTTTTCCACTACATCCACTGGGTCAACGTCTCCAGTAACGGTCAACCTTTTGACCTTCGGTCCAATTGTAATGGACTGTACACCTGGTGAAAGAGAAGGGTGAAAAAAGCAATTATTAGAAAGTTACTGGGTTTATTTGTGGGTATCTCGAAGTCCAGGGATTTATTTGTAGATTTTAGAGTGTGAAAAATAATTTTTGACTCTGTACCTGAGAGACCGGAGACCGTTTTCATGGCCTTTTGATTGATTTTCTCGTCAGCGAACTCTAATTTCACCACAATTATCTGCAATAAAAAGAAAAAAACTTCATTTACATAAAAAATAAAAATAAAAATATCCCCAACTAAAAAAGAAAGGAGTTTCATATTGACATTTAACTAAAAAAAATTCAAAAAAGTAGAAAAGAACAGGGAGAAAAAAAAAAACATTTATAAGATATACTGTGCCCTCAAAGTCAATAGACAATATTCTTATTATAAACAACAAATCAATATCATGGATAGTTACGACAATCCAAGACTTGTTAAAAAAGGTTTATTTAATTAAGCCATATATAAAACTAGAATAAAACAAATATACTAACCTTCATTTTTTACTCTTTATGTCTTCTGCTGGAATTTCGAGATTGAACTGAAAGGATTTTATTGGAATAAATAAGACAAATAAGATTTTGTCGACTGAAAAAGAAAAACAACTATTGGATTTGGAGGAACTTGATAAAATGGACCAAGAAAATCAATGAATATTTTTGTGAGTTGTGTTTTTAAAAACTCAGGGGCTAGCTGATTTGATTTATATACAAATACATGAAGTGGTTCAGTCAGCGAGTCCGAGAGCGAGTGTGACTCGTCAAGCGACTCAGCCTCACGACTTTTGCCAAGTCGTCGTTGTGTTGTGTAGGACTCGGGTCTCCGTACCGTTAGGAAGATTCTTAAGAGTAACTAGGAAATTGCTAAGACCTATCGTGCATAATATTGGTTAAAATACAAAACAACAACAAAAAT